TAAGACGTTAAGCCCACCTGATTCGTACTTATTCATCACAACAGTTTTTCTAATATAATGCGTACGGTTTTTCCATATAAAATTAAAGAGCATATGGTCAATATCTTTACTAATTTTCTTATCCAGATTTAAGGAGAGAGCAGCATATGTTAATCGGGATATCCCTTCAGCTTTAGTAATTAACACTCTACCTTTCAAAGACAAGTCCCTTTGCAGCCAATGGTTGAACTTTTTTGACAAGCACATTATTATTTAGGGCTTTGGAGTTGACGTCACGCTGCAGTGCATTGTGGGATCGCGACGCCATGACAGAAGGCCACAAATCAAAACAAATTGTGTTGGAAGCAGGACTGTCAGAACCATGCTTAAAATCAGCGCAAAAGACAAAGGGCTGTATCGCGACCGATTGCACCCAGACGTTAAGAGATGGTACTTGGGGAAAAAAGCGTGCATCGGTAGCCCAACTTCAATAACTCTACAAACGGCGCTACTGTTTAGTTTTCTGTCTTTATTTATGTCAAAAGCTATAGCAGAGCTGTGCGTTTTAATTTTTTAGAAATCCCTCAGTCAGAACGTGGTATATCATCTTTAGATGGAAACTAGCGAGCTAACTTTGAACTCCGTTAAATTTCATAAATTCTGTTATCAAGGATGCCTGGATGTTAGACCTAATTGTTACACCTGGTACAGCAACTACACTGATCATTTTATTATATATATGTATATATATATTTCTGTTTATATTATATTATAATATATATTGAAAGCTGAGGTTATTCTGAACCGAAAAACATTCACTTATAGTATGATTTGTGACCATTTTACAGACAAAATTACCAAATAATTCCAGGTGCCCTGTATGATACATGGGTTAAAGAGTTAAGGTTGTTTTTTCTTTTTTATTGAGTTGAAGTTAAAACTATACATGGAAGTTTCTCCGCTTGAAGTTCCAAGTATCGGCAGTGACCCACTGCCAAACTTCTTGGAAAAACCTGTCATGCAACATCTGTGCAAGCGTGCAACTGGTGGGAGTTATACCCAGCTTTACAGTTTTTCTTAATCTCTGTCATAACACAGATAGATATAGATGCAGATAGATATTTGTTTTTATTGATGAGTGAGCATCAAGGGTCAATGATCCCTAATTCCCTGACCATTATTGATCACTGTTAAAAAAAACTGCTTTCAGAGTTGGATCCCCAAAACCATCAAAAAAAGAGTGTGCAGCACCTTTGTAGAAGATTCTGTCAGGTACTGTGACCTCTGTCTTTTGATAGTGACATGTCTGTATTTTGAGTCAGCTCTCACAGTGATGTTTTTATCCCTCCACATCTCTCAGTAATGGTGCATTGTGTCAGTGTGGGGCTGCGAGAAATGACCATGCCTCTGTGGCTCTTGGAGACTATTTCAGCACTGCAATTGTGAACCACTGGGAAAGCGTGCAGCACTCCTCTGAACAACCAACTGATGCATTTGGAGAGGTGCAATTTGCAGGGGCCAGCAAGAGGCACAGCCATGTGGGTGGATTTCTTTTTCTTTTTCTTTTTTTTGCACAATTCTATATCTCTAGAGCAGGAGTGGGCAACTCCAGGCCTCGAGAGCCGGTGTCCTGTTTTAGATAGCACCCTGGGTCAACACACCTGAATCAAATGATTAGATCATTAGCAGGCCTCTGAAGAACCTCAAGAAGTGTTGAGGAGATAATTTAGTAATTTAAATCAGCTATGTTGGATCAAGGTCACATCTAAAACCTGCAGGTCACCGGCTCTCGATGCCTGGAGTTGGCCACCCCTGCTCTAGAGCCTTAAAGTATTTGAATATGTTTGCATGTTCTAAAAAGCAATGCCTGTAAAGGTGATTGAAATAAATATCCAGACAAACCCTGAGTTGTGGTGTGCAAATGAGCAAACAAAATCTGTACTGATCAGATGTCATATTTATTTGAGCATCCTTTGTTCATTACTTTTATTACTTTCATTACTTCTTAAATCCTGTGCATTGCTGACATGTGCTTGTTCTTCTTAATCTGTCAAATCTCTAAACTTAGTTTCTGCGTCTGTCATGGAGCACTGAGCCTTTTTTTGTGTACAACATATTGACAACCCATTGGGCTCTTCCTCCACCCAACCTGGTTGTTTCTGTTGTGGGTGGAAATAGCAGGACACAGATAAAGACCTGGGTACGGGAGATCCTCAGACAGGGACTGGTGAAAGCGTCACAAAGAACAGGTAAAAACTTTAGGCAAGGATAGATGAAAATCATCACATCAAATGCTGCTATGACAGTCTTCCTGACAAACTCATGTGTGATGTTCACCGTGTGTCTAGAATATGTGTGTGCTGTTTGCTTAGCAGAAGCTGTCATAATTTTCTCAATGACATTTAAAAAAAAAAAAAAAAGTCTTAAGTGGACTTCCTTTATTTTTAAGACTATAAAACTATATAGGCTGTCTTGATATAGTCATATATTGAAGTACCAACTATTCGGTTCAATTTCATTTAGATGGTGCCAAATCACAACAACTGGATTTAATAGGAAGCCAATGAAGGAGAATTATGAGCTTGTTTTTTTTTTTTTTTGAATGATGGTTCATGTTTTTATTTTGCCTCTTGTTGCTCTATGTTTTAAACATTTACAATAGAGTTCAGAACAACACAACCAGAGACTTCAGATGCAGGGCCATTTATACTAGCACAGTGGCAGGTTTAATAAAAATTAACGCTGTCAGTCCCTCTCTCAAAACAGTAGACATATCTATCTAACAAATGATGCTGCCAGGTCTTTCTTGAACATACTCATGGTGGTTTGAGCGTGAAAAAATGTAGTCTCAGAAGGTCAGTCGCTATGCTAACAACTTCAGCTGTAGTTCAAACATGCTTATGTTTACGGAATAAGGATATATCAACATCAAGCCTCAAAATACGTAAAAGGTGGTTGAAGTTTTTGAAATAAACAAGGCCAGGTCCTGATCTTTACCTGACATGGTCAAATAATACAAATGAAACTCAGCAGCAGAATTTAACTTCGGAAAAGAGCATCCAAGATTACCAACACCAAGTGGAGTGGCCAAAATCCTGTAATAAGAAAGAATGGGCATCAGTCAGCGCAGACCTGACCAAAATTGTGGGAAAACTCAGAATAACAGTGGAGAAGAAACTAGATAGGGTGATCTGATCTGATCTACTCTTATCGAGCACAAAGTTTAGGACAAAGCGGCCAAGAAAAAAGAAAACATCGGTCACCTCCAATGGACGTCCATGGTTGCTATGTAAAAAAATTTCTCTGAAAACAAATGAAACTGGTCTGGACAAAGTGAATCCTCCCAAAAACATTGCAATGTGTAGGGGGTGTGATGATATCCAAGGGAAAAGATGCCTCAAACATTCTCAACAGTCTGACTGACATGTCAGTGCAGAAGGCCGGTATACCAGGGTCTGGGGGATGATTAGAACACACATAGACCAGGTCTGATCGTATAGCATCAAACCCAGTCTGCTAAAAGGGAAGGAAAAGACCTCCATGTCTTCTTCCTGGACCTAGCCAGTGCTTTTCATTCTGTCCCCCATTTGTTACTTAAACTAGAGGAACCAGCTGAAGGAGGAAATGATGAAAGGACTTACCACTATCAGAATAACTTCTCTTTATTATATCTTTGACCCCAAATCCAAGCAGTGACTAATGCTTTCTCACACCGATTTTTAATCTGTTCCACCCAGGTGCATGGATATTAACTACAGGTCTGCGCGAAAGGCTTGGTCGGTGTGTTGGACAGGCAGTGAGAGATCATGCAGCTGCGGCATCTTCAGTCTCTCTCAATAAGGTGGTAGCGTTGGGGATTGCTCCGTGGGGCGTAGTGGAAAAACGAGAGCAGCTGGTCAACCCTCAGGTAGTACAGTTTACACATTTCTCAAAGCATTAAGAACATCTTGTTAACTTTTACTATACAATCTTTTACTGTAAATCTTGCTTAAAGATTTGATTATATTTATCTTTTTGAATGTTTTAATATTAGCTGTCCATAATCATATAATGCTTGTATTTCATGGGCACTAATTTCAAATTAATAAGACTATGTAGACCTAATCTTTGAGTGCTCAAGGTCAGGTAAATGTATGCTAATTGTGATTCATCTGGATACTCTTGGGACCAAACTTTGCATCTCCAATAAAAACACACCAAAAGGATGTGCAAGTTTCAGGCCTTTAAGACACCGTGGAAACTGATCAAGGCCAGGAAGAAACACTGGAATAACTGGTTTCCTTCCTTTGCAGGGAAGCTTTCCTGCAAGGTACTATGTCCAAAACATATCACAGGACTCCTGCTCACTGGACAACAACTACCAGGCCTTCCTGCTGGTGGATGATGGGAGTGTGGGCCGCAGAGGAGGAGAGATGAGTTTCAGAGCCAGACTGGAGGAATACATTTCCCACCAGCGCACAGGCATATTAGGTGAGAGATGGCACTATAAAATAAAATATTATTTTAAGAATTATAATACTTATTTTGACAGTGGTTGACCATTTATGAGCCTATCCTAGTTACTGTACAGGGCGTAACAGGTACACCCTGTACAGGTCACCAGTCTGTCACAAGGGCAGGGCTAGCACAAAGAGAACAATTTGAAAACTGCGTGTGAAAAGTGCCAAGTGTGTGCGTGTCTACGTGGACTCAATTTGGACTCACATTCACACTTTTGGGCAATTTCGAATCACCAGTTAGTCCTAACCCCACTAACTGCATGTCTTTGGACTGTGAAAGGAAACTGGAGCACCTAGAGAGAACCCATGCAAACATACAAATGCCACATAAGAAGGTCCTAGTCAGATGGTGGATTCAAACACAGGACCTTCTTACTTTAACGCAACATTGCTAACCACTGTGTTGCCAATGTTTAATCAAGCAAAAAAAAAAATCACAGGGTGCGCCATCTGTATCTTTGTTAGTTGCTGTGCCACTCTCATTAAGTTAGTAAAAACATTTTACCAAGATTGGAACATGTTAAAAATTGTTGTATCTTTTTAAAGGAAGTGGCAGCATTGACATCCCTGTTGTTTGTATGCTGATATCAGGGGATGCAGACATGCTAAAGGTACAGTCTCTGCTTTATATGTTGACTGATAATCACAAAACATGTTGTGACTTGATATTCAAATTGTGTAAATATTTCGTTCGTGGTTTTTGTAACGCCTGTCAGAGAATGGATCTCTCTCTGAAAAACTCCATCCCCTGGCTGGTTCTGGCTGGCTCAGGAGGCTTGGCTGATTTCCTGAGTGATATCTTGGAGAACCTGTCTTCAGCTCCAGCTGTGCCGTCCTCTGGTGAAGGCAACAGTGAGGCGGGTCCCAGCGTGGATCTTAAAGACAGAGTGGCAGAACGGTTTAAGAAGCATTTTCCTTCGGAAGTACAAACCGACAAACTAGTGGAACAGGTGAGTGCTGAGGCTTTTACTTTGCAAGAGTTGGAGGAAAGATTTTCGGTAGCCCCTTTTATTACACCTCGTTAATAACTATTACATATATTATAAGTAATAACCACTTAATATCCAAGTAATATCATGGTAGCAACTGTGGTTACAGTTGAGTAATAGTTCCCTGAAATTTACATGAAAGCATAATGAACATAATAAATAACTGTGCCGTGAAAGAGGGTCTTCTAAACTCTTCTGCAAATCTAATGTATTCATATGACCATGGTATTAAAATGCCGCTTATTACATAGAAACTGCCACAGGTATTTCCTGGTAGTCATTACTATTCTTAAGGTTGTTTTAAAAGGTTATTAACTGGCTATTACAGGGTTCATTCGGGTGCTTGAAAGCTTTACAATGCTTGAATTTTAATATTGTCTTTTCAGGGTTTGAAAGTGCTTGAATTTCAGATGTGGTGCTTAAAATTGCTTGAAAGTGTAACTGTATTTTGCTGTACCTGAATAGTTTTCTTATCAGATAGAGAAATAGAATGAGTAAAATTAACATGCCTGGAGGTTGTCGTTTTAACGAATATTTGATGGAAAACGACAATGGTTGAGTTTGCATTCTCGAGTCACATGATAGCCGAGTCCTTGTAAGCAATTTTCGACTACATGTACGTTACACATGTTAATTTTTAAAATTATTTTTATTATTTTGCTAGCTATCAAACTCGCTGGTGAAATGATTGAAATGCACTGAGTGTGATGCAATACTGCAGCGCTAATATAGCATTTAGTTATGACATGGTGATTTATGGTGTTTATATCTCTGTGTATTGGTGCAGCTTTTTCAGGTATTAACTCGGTGCCTTTGGCAACACCTAGGGGGAAATAATGGTAATATTATCCATTTGGGCACAAAGAATAGACACATTTTTTGTGCTACCGAAGTTCCCCGGCTTTCATTCAAAATCTGTTTATTGTGAGCACCTACACAATAAACACCATAAACATTGTAAATGGCTTCAAGCTCACGCTGAGGCCTGAAGATGACTATCAGCCACTGAGACATGAGACACATGTATGTGTTTTTGTATATAAATGTTTCACATAAGAAAGAAGCATCAATATCTGATAAGAAGAGTTAATAATTTGGGCTTGCTGTGTATTATTTTTGTGGTGTTCTTGTTTTGTTTTTTTCAACAGTAGGTGAATATCTCTAACAAGTTGATTTGTTTACATTTGCACATCTTAATTTTTAAGTGAAATGTGTGTTTTGAGTTTATACACTGCATTCATATTAGTCAACCTGTTTTAACAAAGGAGGAATAAAGGTGTTTAAGTCAACCCAGGGTGATTTCTTTTTATTTTCACATGGTCTTACTGAGGTGATGCGAAGTGAAACATGTTTTTGGTAATATGCTGGAAAAACTTGAAAATGGACTTTGAAAGTGCTTAAAAAGACTTTGAATTTGACCCTGGAAAAAAAGACATATGAATCCTGCTATTAATATGTTATTAAATAGAAACAGGCAGCTACCAGCAATATTGACAGGTAATTATTACACTTCTTTACACACACACATTATGTTATTAATGTGTTATTAAATAAAAACAGACAGCTTTGCATTTTGCAGCTCTGTTTTCTGCTTATTATCCAGAAACTACCAGATATATTGCTAGGTAATGACCACATGTCTGGAAGTTAGTTTTAATAGGTTATTTATATGTTATTAAGTAGAAACAGGCAGTTTTGCATTTTGCAGCTCTGTTTCCTGATCCAATAACAGAACTGAGCCACTTACCAAGCAGCTCCTATATAATGATGTCAATAATTGTATAACCTTAATCTAAATTGCAATAGTGTAAGTATAGTTGTGCTGAAAATAGATAAATCTATTATTGTTGAATGTGAATCAAAAAAGTGACATCATAGGTGAAAATAAAGGAACTGTGGTCAAAGTGGAGCAAAAAGACTCTTCTGAATGGGTTTAGAGCATCAAGAAAAGCTTGTTTTTATAAAAGTTCTAAAAATTGTTTGCTTTCAATCAAACATGAATAAAAACAATAAAATCATACCCCAGTATGACCAGGGAGGAATACAAAAATAGAATAAATATCAAAACCTGTATTTAAAAAATCCAGAACTGTTTGCCAACTGAAGAAGCAAAATCTCCACAAGCTCACAGCTTGCCAAAATAGCATAAAAAGTATAATAAATCCTAGTCCTAAAGTCTGGTCAAAAGTTGCAATGGGCAGGCAGCATTATCACACATGAAGAAATCTCTACCATTTCACTCTCCAGATGCTGAACTCTGGAGGTAACCCATTTTGGCATGTGTGTTAGTTATTTATGGTTAGATTTTTTTGTTTGTTTGTTTGTTTTGCTCTGCTCTGCTTTGAAATCATTAGCCAGAAAAGTTACAGACAGTGCATAAAACTGACTGACATGAGAGATGCTTTCAAGCAGGTGCTATAACATCTGTGGAATGTACTTCATCTCCTACATCTTGTCCCTGTCATCTTGCAACTGTTTTCCAACATTCCTGTTTCCTTTTCCAGGCTTTTAGAATTTACCAGAATAGAGGTTTGATTACGGTGTACCACGGAGAGCATGAGAGTCCAAATGACTTTGACACTGTCCTGCTTAAAACACTTGTGGGAGGTATGTATAAGTAGACCATAATTATACATCATAACAGCTGCAACCCCTTTTTATCCTTAATTAAATTTTTTTGTATTTGTCTTTTTTAGCAAGTAAGCAGCGCGCATTAGTTGAGGCAAACCCTTATAGTGATGAGCTGAAGTTAGCAGTAACGTGGAATAGGGTTGACATTGCCAAGAGTGAACTCTTCAATGGCGACATCCAGTGGAAGGTGAGGAGGGGAACAGATGTGTAATATCAAGTTTGACAGATAAGTCAGTTTAAATGTGATTATTTGGCATTATAAATATTGACCTGCCTTAAAACATGATCTCCTTCCTCCAACAGTACGAAGATTTGGAAGACTCAATGACAGATGCGCTGATCAATGACAAGCCCCAGTTTGTTCGGCTTTTCACTGAAAATGGTTTGAACATTGTGGACTACTTAACCTATGGAAAGCTGGAAAGCCTCTATTGCTCTGTGCCAGATGGGAGCTTACTATATCAGCTGCTACAGCGCTGCCTAGCAGAGCGGCTGGCAATGGCGGAGCGTCACTCACCATCAGAACAACAGAATTCATCCTCAAAAGTGGCAGCAGATAACAATCAGAGCAGACCAAGGAGGGAGTTTACCCTGTTTGAGGTGAGTTTTCTAATCTAATACGAGGTTATGCTCAAGCAGATCCAGAAAGAATGTGAAACAATTCCAAAAACATATCCTTGTGCTTACTGTTCCATCCACCTGTTTCCTCAGGTGTCAGGGGTCCTGAAACACTTAATGGGTGATGCCTGCCAGCCTTTCTACTATAAAGCTTTAGGCTTACAGTCATCTTCATTCAAAAGGACAGCCATGAAGGTATTCTGAACTTTTTAGAATAAGCAGGCAGTGTACTTGTAGTGACAGTATCTCTCTTTTACATTTGACCTAATAATAGGTATTTTTATTCTTTTTTTTATTCATCCCAGCGTGCCACTAAGGTTCTGCATGGAGGTTCCAAATATCACCAGCAGCGTTGCCCCCATCCCTGGGCTTCACTCTTCCTCTGGGCTGTACTGCAGAACCGCAGTGAGATGGCCCTTTTCTTCTGGGAGATGGTATAGGCTCTGAGACAAACTTCAAGAAGTATTTTACTTGGGGGGGGGAGATAATTTTTGAGCCCCCTGCTGAAGTTGTAAATTTGCTCACTTCCCAAAAAAATTAACAGTCTTTACTTTTTAGGGTGCCGCATTTTTGGGCTAAAAGGCGCACTTACAATCCCTTAATTTTCTCAAAAATCGATAGTGTGCCCTGTAATCCACTGCGCCTTATGTATGAATTCTGGTTGTTCTTACTGACCTTGAACCAATTTTATGTGGCACACGGTGCTCAAAAATCTGTCAAAAATGTTTTAGTGTGACTTTGGTGCTACGAAGCTGCACCGCTTAATGGATTGTCGGAACATTACGGCTACCGTAGTCTGGAGCCTCGTGGAATAATCTGGGTTCAAACTCCGCTTCAGGTCCCAAAGTCAAACGAACACTGCAGCATCACTGAGAGTTAAAAACTGTCTAAATTCTTTCATGTTTAATAGAATGATCAGTGTTGCTGCTTTAACAGTTAAGTTTAACATTCAGACATCCATGAAAGCAGAAATTATTCAATTTAACAGAGTTAGCAATTAGCAGGAGGTTAGCTCGCTAGTTTCCACCTAAACATGATATACTGTACCATGTTCTGACTTAGACACAGCTATGTTAGCATAACATAAACCCAGCGAAGCTGGAGGAAGAACTTTTTTCCACTCGATAAAAGTTAACGTGAGGGTTCACGATGGCTAGGGACAAATGCAATCACATGGCAGGATGCTGTAAATGGACCAAACTTCAGGCAGGAGAACAACTGAGCTAATCCATCCACAAGTTAGTTATCAATATACTGCTGCATGGGCTGGGCTGTAATTACATCTTAAGGTTTTAAAAACTGAGCTTTAAAATTATTAGCAGTAATAAAATAAAGTTTGTCCCGAACCTTCGGGAACCCTAACGTTAACTTTTATTGAGTGGAACAAAGTTAGCGTTCATTCTCCAACTTCACTGTTTATATTATACTAACATAGCTGTGTCGCTAGCGTTCGCGTAGCACATCATTATATATAGCTAGCCAAACTTCAGTAACCCTACAAATGTCACTGGTGTTTACTTTCCTGTCTTCATTTATGTCGGAAATGATAACAGAGCTGTACGTCTTAATTTGTTTCAGAAATCCCTCAGTCAGAACCTGGTATATTATATTTAGATGGAAACTAGCGAGCTAACTTCTAACTCTAACTTAATTGTTACACCTGGTAAAGCAGCAACACTGATCATCCTATTAAAGATGAAAGGATTTAGACAGTTTTTAACTCTCAGTGATGCCGCAGTGATCGTTGGACTTAGGGACCTGCAACAGAGTTTGGGACCAGGCACGGCTAATGATGTCAGACTTAAAGACTGGATAGTAACAGCTGTTGGTGCCATTATTATTTTTTTTTAAAAAGAAAGAAACAAAATGACTGTAATCTGTCCTTGGCATTAGATTAGATGAACCTTTATTTATCCCTCGGGTGGGTTCCTTCAGGAAATTCAGTTTCCAGTAGCACAGCACCGACAGAAGTTGCAGAATGTGAGCAGAAATATACCATATATACAAATATATAAATACAGAGTATACAAAATGGATAAATAGAATAAATAGGAATAAGAATACAAGGGTGTGGCACATTTCAAGTATTGTGAGTCTATTACACCGTTGGATATTAACAAAAACTATTGCACAGTGAAAAGACACTACAGCTTACTTGTTCCCCCCTCCTTTGTCCCCGTTTCCCCTCTCTCTCCCCTCCAGCGAGGAGTTAAACAGTTTAATGGTGTGTGGGACAAAGGACTTTTTAAGTCTGCTGGTCCTTGACTTTGGGAGAAGTACCCTCTCACTGAACAGACTCCTCTGGTTGTTTATGTCCGTGTGCAGAGGATGGAGAGGATGCCCAGCATGGTCCACAATGTCCATATTGCACCTTAATTTGTTTTTATATAAGTGTGTGGAATGAGTCTTCTGTTGAACGTTTTTTAATAGACAAAAAGTACTTGAGTAAGTAAATGGCGAGTCAAATTTTTGTCTTTTTTTTTCTATTTTTGCTGATCCAAAAATTGATCCGATCCGTGACTTAAAACCGTGATCCGATCAGAACCGTGAGATTTTTGATCCGTTGCACCACTAATAACCACAGTTGAGCAGAGAGGAGGAAACATTATGCTTTGAGGCTGTTTTGGGGCCCTAAATGACCTCCAGCTGACCACAAACTTCATGAGGGTGGCTCCAACATACTCCAGTGGCCCCTGCACTCTTGGTTGGCAACTTGGCTTTTGCCATAGAATACCACTGGTGCCCTGCTTTTCACAGATGAGAGCATCTAAGGAGTCATATTTATGGAGGGATGCACAAACCTCTACAGGCTAGGCAGTAGGGTTGGGCGTTATGTAAAAAATTTCCAACCTACAATTGTCAATCAAATAATCGACAGTGTGAATTATATTCGCGCATGCACAGACTTTTTGATGGGCGGAGCAATGTAATCATGCATGGACTGATTTGCGTGCTTACAACACAGAAAAAGTCCAAACATGGGCGAACTAATTGCTAAAAAAAATATAAAGTCGCCAATTTGGGATTTCTTTGGCTTGACACCGGAAGAAAGAAGTAAACCTAATGATGTAACCAAAGCGATGTGCCGCTTGTGCAGACATAGTGTGAGCAAAGGACTCAAATACAACTAACTTGCATATGGTTTTTTTTTCTTTTTCTGAACATAGGCTACTGCCTTTCTTTCGGTTATGTGTTTGAGTAAATGAATCTCTGAATTGGGGCGCACACTAACGAAGGTGCATTTGCTCGCAGATGAAAGAGGGGGCTTTTAAAACAGCGCTATTATTATTATATTTTTCTGTTGACTGCTTCCATTAGCTCCATCATTATTAGCAAACTTACTCATGGGCAAGTAAATAAATAAATCGCCCTTGTAAAAACGATCTGAGCCATCGTCGATAGTTGATATATTCAGCACTTACTGCACTTACTACCTTTTAGGACTGCCACAAATGATTATTTTGATAGTCGACTAGTCACCGATTATTTTTGCGATTAGTCGACTAATCAGATCATCATCCATTGGACGTGAAATGTACAGCTTAGTGCACCAGCATGCATCTGCTCTTATATAACTATCATTAGCTTACAGCTTGAAGTTTTTAAGGTATGTGCTGACTAAAAACAAAAACAAGTTGATAGTTTATTAAATTTTAATGACATTTGCAGATTCTCTTGGTGGCGTTTAATAAACTCAGCCGTCTGCTCTTTGCTCCCTAAAATATAACAGGACATTGGAGTAAATTTGCGACCATCCCATACTTCTGTTTAATCAGTTCTCTGTTTGATGTTTATTCAGCTGTGTGAAAACTATAACTTAACTAATCTCAGCCAAACCGATTTACTCAGGAACAAATAAAACACTGAAAAAAGCCAAACAATAACATTTTTAAATTATCTAAGTGACTTATATATCATGTTTAACCTGAGTAGCCAAAGATCGCGGGGGTCTGAAAATGATTTGCCAAGAGTTCGCTGTTCTCACCGGCTCTAGTGAGCCTTGAACCCCGGCTAGCTATCAAGCTGGTGGGTAACAGATGTCTCCGAAAACGTCAGAGCGCTTTTGCAAATATGTGTTGTCTTAATAAACTGAAAATATCTTAAAAGTTTATTTTGTGATCCAGAAAGAATAATTAGAGTAATATTTAAACTAAGTAGCTGTCGCCATTGTTGGAAACTGGGCCGCGCTATGAATTCTGGGATATGCTGGGCCATGAAGGATACACCTGACCTGATTCAGAAATCAGAAATCAGAAATCAGAAATCAGAAAGGGTTTATTGCCAGATGTTGAGCAGGTTTACAACATTAGGAAATTGCTGCGGTGCTTCAGTGCAAACATACTGTCATAAAAATATAAAAATAAGAATAAGAATTAAAAGTGCTAAGTGGATAGATATATACATGATATATACATGAGTGCAGGTGGTGATCAGTGCCAAACATGGAATGATGCAGTGAACACAGCGTAGGGTCATGTGTTAGTGGTGGGAACAGTCATATGGTTATTGTTCATGTGTCCGACAGCAGAGGGGAAGAAACTGTTCTTATGGCGAGAGGTTCTGGTGCGAATGGACCGGAGCCTCCTGCCTGAGGGGAGCAGGTCAAACAGACTGTGTCCAGGGTGAGAAGGGTCAGCTGAGATCCGAGCTGCACGCCGCAGTGTCCTGGAGGTGTACAGGTCCTGCAGAGATGGGAGTCTGCAGCCAATCACCTTCTCAGCAGAGCGCACAACACGCTGCAGTCTCTGTTTGTCCCTGATAGTGGCTCCAGCGTACCACACAGTGATGGAGGAGGTGAGGATGGACTCGATGATTGCAGTGTAGAACTGCATCATCGTCCGTGTTGGCAGGTTGAATTTCTTCAGCTGCCTCAGGAAGTACATCCTCTGCTGGGCTTTTTTAATGACGGAAGTGATGGTGGGCTCCCACTTCAGGTCCTGGGTGATGGTGGTACCCAGGAAGCGGAACGAGCCCACAGAGGTGATGGGGGTGTCAGTCAGGATGATGGGGGGGAGTGGAGCTGTGTGCTTCCTGAAGTCCACAATAATATCCACTGTCTTCTGGGCATTCAGCACCAGGTTGTTGTGGCTGCACCAGGACACCAGACGTTCAACCTCCCTCCTGTAGGCAGACTCATCCCCGTCCGAGATGAGTCCGATAACGGTGGATTCCCTTCCGCTACAGATCGGGTAGTGACACTTTCAAATCTGGGGAAATGAAGGACGCATTTTTCGGCCGCATTTGGAAGCATCTTTGAATTTGGACAGCCTTCATCGCGATGCTGTAACGTAATCGGCCTACAAATGCGGCCTCCGAAGGATGCGGACCCTGAATTTGGACACAGCTACGATCTTGGGGACTGCTTCTTCTTCTTCTTTGGGGTGTAACGGCAGCTTACACTCTTGAATCCTACTTATTCCTGCGTCTTTCAGGATCTTGCAAAGCTTCAAACGATGCATCGACTATTTACAGTAATAAGTCGTCAATGATTTTGATAGTCGCCGTAATCATGACTAGTTGACTAATCGTGACAGCCCTACTACCTTTAGGTATTGGGATGATATCCTTGGACTCATTATCAGATGTTATGCTGGTGCAGTGGATAATATGGTGATTATAAACTGGCAGTTACTGGAGGATGAAGGAATTGATACCACTGAGTGGTCCCCATGCTAACCTAGGATCCTGTCTCCCTGGACACATTTTCTTTAAATTCAGTTAATAATTTTAATTTCCATCAAACATTTTAGCGTCCTTTCATTCCTAACACATTACTCAGTCCAAATCAATACAGATATGAGTTTTTCCCTATTGAAATCTAATGAGTTTTCAAAGTGTTCCTCTAAGAAAAACAATCAGAAAATATATAATTGCTTGCTTTCCAGGCAGGTGAGGCAGTCCTGAGTGCTCTTGGTGGCTGTAAGATACTCAGAGAACTGTCCAAACGGGAGGATGAGACTGAAACCAAACTCTCCATGAAAGAACTGGCCCAGAAGTTTGAGAACCTGGCTCATGGTGAGACAATAACTACAATTGTCTGCTACTGTTGATGTTATAATAATTAGATATTTCAAAACCATTTCACAAAGAGCCCTTTGAATTTTCCTTTTAACAGCTTATGTAACGCAATAATAACAAACCTATCTAACTCTTTGTCATGTGTCTTATGTCTACTTTACCTCAGATATTTTCAGCTCTTGCTATCGCAGTGATGAAAACCGCTCTTTCAGCCTGCTGATTAGAAAGTCTCCTGTCTGGGGTCACAGCACCTGTCTTCAGATGGGTGTGAGCTCTGATGCTCGGCGTTTCTTCAGTAATGATGGTGTACAGGTGTGTCATATCTTTAATTCATGTTGTTGTCATGATTTCAAAGATGAATCAGATGAATTTTACAAAGGAAATATAGCATGATATTTGTAAAATAACACAACATTTCATGTTGAGCCGGTGAGCTGCTGTTGATGGATAAGGACTGCTTTTCTGTCTTCTTCCAGTCTCTGTTGTCCCAGATCTGGTGGGGTGATATGAAGAGGAACACAGAGGTCTGGAAGCTTCTGCTCGTGTTCTTCTGCCCCATCCTCTGCTACACCAACCTCATCTCTTTCAGGTAAAATTTTTAATTTAAGGTTTGTAAATTATTTTTTAATATCTTTTTTAAACATTTGCCACTTTTTTCCCGCAGGAATCAATACGATCAGCAAGAGGAAGAGAGGATGCTTTTTGAGGATGAGCTGGATCAGGACACTGACAGTCACTATGGGAACACTGTCTTCTCTTTCTCTGACATCAAGCAGCAGTAATATTTCTACATGCACTCTACAGTATTAATCTGTAAAACATCAGTTTGTTATTTATTTGCATTAGTCTACTAATTTACTTTAAAATGGTTTTTTTTAATATCTCAGTGAAGTTGACTCCGAAGGTCAAAAGAGTGATGCCATTAAAGGTGAGTCCTGTTCAAAGAGTCCTCTGATTCTTGCTCCATATGCTGTCATTTTTAGTCACCTGCTTATCTGTGTTTATAATCTTTGATACAGGCGTACCCCAACGACTGCCACAAAGTCCATTCACAGTGTCACGCTGGCGTCAGTTCTGGTTTGCACCGGTCACTTCTTTTCTGGGCAACGTCCTGATGTACTTCCTGTTTCTCTTGCTTTTCGCCTACGTGCTGTTGGTGGATTTCAAGCCCCCACCCCCCTCAGGTCCAGCTGCCACTGAGTGTGTGTTGTACTTCTGGGTATTCACCCTCGTTTGTGAGGAGATCCGACAGGTGAGTGAAGAGAGACATCTTACTTAGAACTTTGTTCGCCAAAATGTTTAACTGTATATAATGTGAAGTGAACAACTGAATGCAGCAATATGCACTTAATTGAAATCTTTTCTTTTTAATTGCACATAGTAGAAAGAGACAATATGTGTGTCATTGGAACACAGTGGTTAACATGCTGTCGTCTCACAAGCATTAAATTGAAGATGGACACAAAAATAAATAAACAAAATTAATACGCTTCAAGGTGCATGTATAGGCAGGTATATAAAAGCTATTATCATACTAAAGTATGTTGATAGTTTTTATTATTGTAGTTTTTGTTTTCTGACGATCTGTTAAGTTTATTTTTTTTCATCTTCTTCAAGACGCTGTTTTTGGGGACGACCTGGAGTCAAAGTTTCAGACTCTACATTCAGGATGTGTGGAATAAATGTGATCTCACTGCCATCAGCCTGTTCATTGTCGGACTGATTTGCAGGTATGGACAAGATATAAAAATGATATCTTAATCTTAGATTGCTCATCAAAAACTTTTCACAACACTACATACAGTTTAGTTTGTCATTGCATGATTGTAACATTTAAGAAATCACAGTATTCGTTTTGTGGTACTTGTTTGGCTTCTTAAGTGTGTCTCAAATAATTTTTTTAATACTTAGTTTTTAGTCACTTAAATTTAAAACATTTCCTCAGTTAACAACCAAATGTTACTGGTTAATTTACAGCTTTGCCACCAGGTGGTGCTACTGCCTCACTGATTCAGTGATGCTGTGCTTGTGTTTCAGGATGTTCCACCGGTCACATGAATTTGGACGAGATGTCCTGTGTTTGGACTACATGGTCTTCACACTTCGCCTCATTCACATTTTTGCCATTCACAAGCAGCTGGGACCAAAACTCATCATTGTAGGAAATATGGTGAGAAAGTTACCATCAGTTGGAATTATACCAGGAATATGTGTCTAATAATACAATGTGAGCAACAACATGACAATTTCCTCCTCTTGTTTAGATGAAGGATGTCTTCTTCTTCCTCTTCTTCCTGGGCGTGTGGGTCTTGGCGTACGGAGTTGCCAATCAGGCTCTGATCTACAACTATGATCCAAATCCAAATCGCATTTTTCTGAGAGTTTTCTACATGCCATACTTGCACATCTTTGGATACGGCTCTTCCATCGAGGAAGAGATGGATGGTACAAGTGTTTGTGCAATTTGCATGAAAATAAGAAAATTGTTATTACACTGAAATCAGTTTTAAAATGCTGCTTTTTTCTACTGCAGGTTTTTAAAATTCATCACAGCAATTAGAAATTTAGTTATTTTTTTTATTATTGTAACCCTTATTTTAACCTTTCTCCTTTTATCTCTATTTTGTGACAGTGGGACGGGTACTAAACTGCACAGACAATGTGACTTTGATTGAGAGCGGTGAAGAGCCGTGTAGAAATCAGGATAGTAACTGGCTGGTAGTGATTCTGCTAGTCGTATATCTCCTGGTCACCAACATCCTGCTCATCAACCTAGTCATTGCCATGTTTAGGTAAAGAACCAGTCTGTCATTATGTTTCTCTGACTACATTCACAAACTGTGAATGGTTTGACTTGACTCAGTGGCTCTGATCTGCTTGTATCCACACAGCTACACTTTCTCTGAAGTGCAGGAAGACAGTGACACCTACTGGAAATTCCAGCGTTACAACCTGATTGTTGAGTACCACTCCCGTCCTTCTTTGGCTCCGCCTTTCATTATCCTCTCACACATCAAAGTCTTTATCAAGAGGATCATCCACAAAGTGCCCTCTGTAAAGATCCACCACTTTGGTCAGTATTGGATCAGGAGTCTTAGTTCACAATAATACAATAAATTTATTAATTTAATAAAGCTATTGCTTTATTATATTGAAATAATAAGTGTAACAGGTGAGAAAGCCACAGTTGAATTGGAATTGGATACTTTGTTAAATATCTTCCAGTTGTTGTTGTTCACAAATGAGTTTTTATGGGGTTTTTTGATCAGTTGCTGCCATGTTATCACTAAGTTACTCACTAAAAATTGCACTGTCTAAATGAGAATGGGCTCTTTGTTTATTTGCAAACTGACCTCAGCTTAGCACCGATGTAAACAAACAGTGAGTTGAAAGGTAATCAATTCAAACCTTTGTCTTTTCTATCAGTGTTAGACTTGGAAGCAAAGGCAGCGAACAGATTATCAACATGGGAAACGATTCAGAAAGAAGACTTCCTGACTGCTCGAAACAAGATCCAGAAAAGCAGCGACTCAGAAAGGCTCAAACGGATGTCTGCAAAGTGAGCAAAGCATCCTGCTCCGCTGTAGCAGCATTATTTATTACTGTGTGACTCCATCATTCTGAAGAATGTTTATTTTTTTGTTATAGGGTAGATGATGTGCTTAAACGTCTGACTGAAAGCAAAGAGTTTGAACACAGACTACAGGCTCAGGTAAAACAGAAGCATTTTTCTGAAGCTCTCACTTTGTCATTTAATACCCTTTGACTCATTCCTCATACATATGTAGAAATGCTGTGAAAGAGCATGTCTGCACAGTCAAAGTATTTTATATAGAGATTAGAGAGTATAATGACAGAAAGATGGAACATGGGGGAAAACACCTACTATAAAGCAGAAAGGCAGTCTAAGTTGGGTTTATGTAAAGTTGTTTGCTGGCTGAGGTCAGAGATAATGTGGGTGATGGTAAGTAATGCATATTTAATATTTTGGAGAAAAAAACAGCCAATAGTTTTGGTTGCACATTAATTAGAGTGTTAGAAAGTGACAAATTGTGGTCTTGTAGAAATGAAAGGTGAGTTTTAGTTTTAGTTGGTAGGTGGATTTTGGTCACTAGATGGAGCCAGGCAAGCTGTCTCTATTTCATCTGTCTTTGAACTAAGCTAAGCTAGGCTTTGCTGCCCTCATGTGTGTCTTTGATGATGCAGTTTCCTTATTCAAGATGATTTTCTCCAGTAGGAGACAAAACACCTTTAAGCACAAAAACATTTTTACTCTCTGAGCTTTTCAATTATTAAAGTAGTACTTTATGTTAATGCTCAAATGGGACTACATAATATTTATTTGATATAAATACTGAAACAGATTATTTCAATCTGTTTTGTGTGTTGTTATAGACACAAAGACAAGACATGCAATGAACAGAAAGCTTGAACACATATATCTCTGCCATTATTCATTATTGATATCAATAAAAAATAAGTCATCCTTTTCTCACTTGGTTTTCATTTAGATTTAAGAATAACTATTCTATTCTGGACTTTTATGATATTCTGATATTCTGCTCTTTCTTCTCAGATGGAGCAATACTCAACTGTCCTCAACTGGGTTGTGGATACTTTAGCACAAGGAAGTACAGTCAAACCTCCTCGTGCCCTGCCTGTGTTACGAGGTACTTCCCAGAACTTATGAAATCAGTTTTGCTTACAAAACAGCCTGCATGTTGAAAAAGTCACACTGCTTTCACTCGGGTTTTATTGCAGTAAGTAAACAGATAACATGTCATCTTCACTGCTTTAGTTTTAAAAGCGCTTACTAAATCTTTTACATTGCAGTCGGATTTTCTGTGATGTTGTCTATCAGGGGTCATATTGAGAGCACGTTAATACTTTTTTTTTGCTCCGTTACACTGCAAATATGGGCCGTATTTTTATGTCTGCATTATTGTTTTCTATTTAATCAAGTTTTTATGCAGTATAATACATTTATTTTTAATATGACAACAAAGGAATTTGTTGCTGAGAGTTTGGTTAAAAAAAGCCTGCCACAATTCATGTGGTATGCCTTTTGGACAAATGAGACCAAAGTATTGATATTTGGATTATTTAAATAATTTCAGAGATTTTTTTATTAGATCATTATCTAGTTATTATGTCCTTGTAGAGAAATTCTTAGAAGTGAATGATGTATGCCTGTTACACGTGGCTGCACTATACAAAAAAGGTTCCTTGTCTTGTCTAATTCTTGGCACAAAATCAAAGTGCAGAGTGAGCAAATACATTCCAGACAGTCAGGCCTGTCTGGTTTCATAACGTAGTAGATAACTTGTAGGTAAGAAAAGAAACCAAGGGTAAAATCTAGGTTTCTTTCGAATTCTCGTTTTATGCAGATGACACAGTTATCTATTGTTCATCTACTTGATTAGTACAAACACTTGAATTTCTTGAGGCAGTCTTAGATGTTGTTCAGTCTCATTAAACTTACTTTGTTTCATTTTCTTTTCCCTTTCCTTCCCTTTTTGCATTACTGTGATCTGCTCCTTTTTAACATACCAGGGCAGCACCTAAAGAGGCTGTATACTGTTTGTTATTGTGCTTTATGTTTTATCACTAGTTGCGAAAATGATGTACATCACTGTTCTCTGTATGCTGCTGCTAAGTGCTCATTTCTGAATATCCTCATCTCTGTATATAATTGTTTTTTAATCTAAAAATGTCTGGTCGAGGGCACCAGTTTAGGTCACTGAGATGAGCAGGTGACCATATGCCATATGGCTGAGAGCACCTGGCCTGGGATCAAATCTGACCCGCAGCACTTTGCCACATGTCTTCCCCTTACTCTGCTTTCCTATAACTCTTCACTGCACCTATCTAATAAAGCCCGAAAAAAGCCATGTGTCTGTATATGTAAAAACCACAACCAGTCTACGCTTTCACAATATTATACAAATGTTTGTCTCCAGGGTCAGAATGGAGTTGTGAATAGACATTTTAAAATATCCTGTCCCCTTTGTGCTGCAGTAATCTACATAAGAAGTTCAGACTGCACAACTGATTATCAGACTCATGATGGGGGAGTTTAAGTCCATTTTAAAAAGTGTGAGAAGTGTGAGCTCTTTGGGCCAGTTTGACTGCTTTTATTACCACTCTTGTAATAATGTTTGCTTTTTGTGTTCACCTGTCTGGACTGGACTGCATTGGCTTTTTCTTTGTATATTTGCTGAAACTTCGTCTCCGCTCTTTGCCAGGTGTGTCTTTAAAAACAGATTTAAATCTCAATGAGATTTGAATGAATAAACAATAATAATAAAAATACTTTTGAATGTGATCATTTTAGTAAACTTGATGAAAGAACCTATTATTTGTCATTAATAAATACATTTTAATTCTGTGCACAATGTGGGATTGTAATAGTTGGATCTACTATGCACATAAGTATCATGGATAGTGTTAAAGAAGCATGCTGGTGCTGAGTTTCAGTCTGCCATGGCTCCATTGAAGGTCACATAGTGGAACAAGCCATTGAAGGAGCCTTCACTGTAAATAGCTGCGTCACCTGTCAATAACCGGAGGAGGAGCAACTCACACTGAGAGGCACTGTCATCGCTTTCAGCCTGGCTGCTCTCTGCAGTATTGTAGCTGACTGTGCCACTGTGAGTGTGGACTTTATAACACTGTTCTCCTCCTGCTGGCTCCAAAGTTAAAAAAAAAAACACACAAGAAGCCTAAAAAAAATGCTATTTTCAGGAAGTAAGCATATGTTCAAAGTGCTTTCCTCTCCATTTCCTTGCATGTACATGCACGTCTGCATGATCCTTACGTATTCTCATTTGCTTCAGCAGTGGCAAGAAGAAATTAATTTTGCTGTGTACACTAAAGTAAATAGCAGATACTGAGAAGAATATTCCAAAAATGTGCGAACCATTAATCTAAAAAACCCACACATAGTACATTTATCAAAGTTCTGCTTCTTTCCTGAATAGTTTGGGAGCTATGACTACAAAAGCTGTGTATAGAACCATAACTTTATCTTCAAATTATTTAATTGTTGTAATTTCTAATAAGAAAAAAAAAATCTTATTTTTGCCCCCCTCCTGCAGTTCAGTAGCCCCCTCCCCCATCCACCAAATGCATACACTCACCTCTCTAATGCTCTGTGTTAAGGGCATCAGGAGCATTCTTCCTCGCCATGTGCCTCTGTCACTCAAGTATACCCAGCCACACACAGTCGTGTTTCCACTGTGTCCTCTGTGTTCCCAGCACAAGCCTGGCACTCTGCTCTCTGTGAGCACACTTCTTTTCAAACCGTCTCTCGGGAGTCTGGGAAAAAGACCTGAACACTGCCTAAATCTGCTGCGCCTTAGCAGCTTTTTGTCTTCCATCAACTGTTTTGGTTTTTGGTGGAAGAATAGAGTAACAAGAATAAGACAGTCTTCAAATTCCAAAGCTGCATTTCTCCCAAGATGGCACCTGTAAAATTTTGGGTGGTAGGTCTCCTGCTTATGCTGCTGTGCTCATCCCAGGTCCCTTTCTCTGTTATTGTAAGTGCCCAAGACTTGAACGAACTGGAGGAAAGCCTCCATGATAGAAATGCTAAGGAGGCTGAAGAAAGTGAAACGGCTGAGGTTGGTGAGGGGAATGAAGAAAAAGATGAAGACTCAGATGATGATGATGATGAGGTAGAGACTGATGAAAAGGTGGAAGAAGAACAGGAGGATGAGAAGGAGACAGCAGAGGAGGAAGATGACAATGCTGATAATGAGGAAGAAGATAATTCTCAGGAGAACGGGGATGTTGAGAAGGAAGAAGAAGGTGAGGCTTCAGATGAGGATGATGCAGAAAAGGAAGAATATGAAGCAGAGGAGGATGAAGAAGGTGAGGCTTCAGATGAGGATGATGC